AAACTCAATCTTTGTCAAACTGGCAAGCGAACTGAAAAAAATACACACTTTAGTATAACTACTCAAAAGATGCAACCAAATTTTTTTCAAAGTTCATTTGTACTAATTTACAGATATGGGATGTATTGAGAACTATAATTCAGTGTATGTAGTTCGTTAGCGAGCGCGGTATAGTTTGAGAGCTGGTGCCTTAGGAGCGAATTGGAACAATGGTTTGAGTCTGTTCAATAAACCTTTAAGAGATAGTTTTTTGTGTGGTCATTGAACCTGAAAATAAATGTAATTTAGGGTATCGGACATATTGTAGATGGATACATCAGACCATAATCATGATAAAGCAGCATTTGTATAAAAGATGATAAAGATAATCCAACTCTCTGTTCTATGAATTATATATTAAGTATGTATATAAGTTTATGCCAGACTTGCTTCAAGGTCTTGAAGCCGGTTCTTCTGAGTCGGACATATTTCCAAAATATCTGCTTAGATTGTAATTAAAAAACTTTACATTTTTTGAAGACCTCAGGGAAAATTGGCATGTCATTGTTAAATGAGTTACCTTCGTTAAATAAAGATTTTTTTTATTATTTATTTATTAACTACACACCTGGCGCAAAATGATATAACCAAAAGCCTCTCTAACGCATTAAGAGCACCATGGAACATTAGAGCTTACCATACTAGGAGCAAAATAACGTACTTGGATGGCTGTGCTGAGCCGAATATTTAAGGTAATAGACTGAAAGAGGTATTTGACCTAATCCGATATTATTCTCACTATTCCCTCAATACAAAAAAAAAACAATAACAGAAGATTGGCATCCATGAAAAAGATTAAAAGTGACATATCTGATGTCAGTTTTATTGTTTGTTTTGTGTACCTAGATTTCGTAATCCCACATATTCAGATTAAAAGGGAGAGTAATGAGAACTCAAAACACTTGTTAATCCTTGGCTCGTTTCATTGTTGGTTGCTAGTGGCAAATATTTCATGCATATCCAGATAGAACGATAATTTAAACACTAGTTTTTATTTACATTATACAGTTACTGCTAAATTCAATTTCAGGATCCTCCCTAGTCTTTGTCTTTTTAATATGAACGTCACGGTCACTCAAAGAATTCAGGGTTGATGGTAGATCACGGATAGTCTGTTAAAATTCAATTTATTCACATTCTTTTGAGTCTCCACAAAATTAACAGTCAGAAATATTGTATAAGACACCTTTTATGCTGAGAACTTATAACTTAATGACTTTTATTTTGTGGTGATGAGTTGCTGTCATTGACATCCCCATACATCAGACAGGTGTCCTTTGATGTGTTGTTGAGTTGCTGTCATTGACATCTCCATAAAATAGACCGGTGTCTTTTTATTTGTTGCTACAAATAGACGTGTTTTGAGTATTTTTGTTGTTGGGTTGTTGTCCTTGACATCTCCATACTATAAATAGATCTTTTAATTATTTTGTTTAAATGGGTTGTTGTCCTTGACTTTTCCATACTATAGATGGATGTCTCTAGATTGTTGTGTTGTTGGGTTGTAGTCAGTGACAACTCTTGATTGTTTTTGTTATTGGGTTGCTGTCATTGACATATCCATACTAAAATTTCATGCCAGGGCATTTTATAGCTGAATATACAGTCTAGTTTTTTTTCTCATGACACATCATCCACATCATTTGAACTTTAGTGTATAGTTGTTTCATTGCATGGCAATCTTACCACATCTCCTTACTTTTATAAAGATAGATTTCTTGATTTTGTGTGTTTGCTGTCATTGACATCTCCATACTAAAGAAAGATCTCTCTTGATTATTGTGTTGTTGGGTTGTTGTCAGAGACGTCTCTTGATTATTTTGCTGTCATTGAAAACTCCATACCATAGATAGATCTCTCTTATTACATGTGTTGTAAGGTTGATGTCAGTGACATGTCATTTCATTATTTGTGTTGTTGGCTTGTTGTCATTGACATCTTTTTACAATAGTTAAATGTCTCTAGATTGTTTGTTGTTGGCTTGCTATCATTGACATCTCAAGACTATAGTTAAATTTCTCTAGATTATTTGTTGTTGGCTTGCTGTCATTGACATCTCTATACAATAGTTAAATGTCTCTAGATTATTTGTTGTTGGCTTGCTGTTATTGACATTTACGTGCTATAGTTAAATGTCTCTAGATTATTTGTTGCTGGCTTGCTGTCATTGACATCTCTATACAAAAGTTAAATGTCTCTAGATTATTTGTTGTTGGCTTGCTATCATTGACATCTCTATACTATAGTTAAATGTCTCTAGATTATTTGTTGTTGGCTGGCTGTCATTGACATCTCTATACTATAGTTAAATGTCTCTAGATTATTTGTTGTTGGCTTGCTGTCATTGACATCTCTATACAATAGTTAAATGTCTCTAGATTATTTGTGTTGTTGGCTTGCTGTCATTGACATCTTCATACTATAGTTCAATGTCTCTAGATTATTTGTTGTTGGCTTGATGTCATTGACATCTCTATACTATAGTTAAATGTCTCTAGATCATTTGTTGTTGGCTTACTGTCATTGACATCTCCATACTATAGTTAAATGTCTCTAGATTATTTTTCTTGGCTTGCTGTCATTGACATCTCCATACTACAGATAGCAATCTTTTGATCATTTGTGCTGTTGGATTACCATCATTGACATCTTTATACTTTAGCAAGATGTCTAGATTTTTTGTGTTGTTTAGTTGCTGTCATTGACATCTACATCCTCATGATATAGATAGACGTCTCTACATTTTGTGGGTTGTTGTTATAAGGCCATTGACATAGATATATGCATTTTGATTTTTGTTTTTGTTGGGTTATTTTCATTGTCATTTTCATACAATAGATATTAGTGTAGCAAGCATGTTTAACCCACCTCATTCTTTATGTGCCTACCATCATTATACCTGTCCCAAATCAGGAGCCTGAAACCAAGTGGTTGCTGGGCATCATATTTGTTTTTCATTACTGTGGATTCACTTATTTTTGTGAGTAACAATTGTCGTGGACAGAAGGAACATTTTATTTTTGTTAGAATTTAATTTTGTGGTTTTGCAAGCTTATAGAAAATTTGTACTTTGTTCAGTGTTGAACATTTAAATTTGTGGTTCCCCTTTAATCCTGAAATCCAGGAAAATTGGTATCCAACGAATAATTATGAAGCCACAGAAATTGTTTTGTACAAATGTTCATGTGTTGTTCTGTTGCACCACTGTCCAAGGTTTAAGGGGAGGATGGGCACCAGTTAACATGTGTTGTTCTGTTGCACCACTGTCCAATGTTTAGGGGTATGATGGACACCAGTTTACATGTGTTGTTTTATTGCACCACTGTCCAAGGTTTAGGGGGAGGATGGGCACCAGTTAACATGTGTTGTTCTGTTGCACCACTGTCCAAGGTTTAGGGGGAGGATGGGCACCAGTTAACATGTTTAACCCCACCACATTCAGTATGTTACTGTAATTCAGAGGTCGTCTTTTGTTGCTGTATGTCATATTTGTTTTGTGTTTATTAATTGTACATAAATCAAGCAGATTGAAATGTTTCACATTTGTCATTTGGGGGCCTTTTTTCTTCTTGCTATGCCGTATGGATTTTTCTTGTTGTTGAAGGCTGTACGGTGATCTATAGTTGCTAACTTCTACATCATTTGGTCGCTGGTGAAGATTTGTCCCATTGGCTATCATACCATATCTTATTTTTATATAGATAGACGTCTATTTTTTGGTCTTGTTAGGTTATTGTCATTGACATCTCAATACTATAGATTCTTTACAGCTATGATCCAATCTTTATCGGTATAAAACGGTAGATTTGCATGTATAATTTTTATTGTTCTTATGGCATTATAATTTTCAAAAACAAAAAATAAATTATGTCTACTACTCAAATATTCACAAGGTTGAGGACCAGTTACAATGCTGATACATAATTTAAGGTATCTAAGCGTTTTGGTGGTATTTAATAGGTGATGGTAGGTACAGCTATCTGAGTTATTACTACAAAAAGCTCCTATGGCCAGTGGCGGATCCAGAAATTTTCATAAGGGGGGGCCAACTGACTGCCTAAGAGGGGGCCCGGTCCAGTCATGCTTCAGTGATTCCCTATATAATCAACAAAATTTGTCCCACTAAAGGGGGGGCCCTGGCCCCCTGAAAAACCCTCTAAATCCACCTCTGATGGCAAGGTAATATGTGTTTCCATTGGTAATTATAGGTAAATTGAAGCTATTATCTGCCAGCAATGATTATGGACCTGGGTTCAGAAGAAAGGAATGGGCCACTAAACATGCTAAATAGGTTGGCGTATGCTCGAAATTATAACATATTTTGAATTTTTCATAAATATATGTATTCAGATTTCTATCATTATTTTTCTAATGACTAAGAGGGAGGAGTTTAATTAAAAAAAAAACAAGAAAAAAGCAAAATGACCCAATTATCAAATGCAAAATCATAGTTTACTATTAGAGAAATGTTATGAAAAGCACTCTATCTCTACCACCAAAACAACTCCAAACTATGCTTAAAGTCAATAGATAGAAGCTTTCATGGTAATGCAAGCTTTGAAATAACAGAACTTTGCATCAAAGCCATTAAAAATTTAAAAGAATATATATAAAATTCCTCTATAATCAATGTCAAAACTTGCAAAACTGCTTTATAAAAGAAATATGTCTGGGTCTGTGAATGTTAAAACATTGTAATTTGTGGCTTGTACAAGGCTTAATTCTGCCAGTTGATGTCTTAAACAGGATTCAGAGACAATTTAAAGGTTAAGAGAATACCGGTTCTTTTCTAAAATTTCAAATATCACAAAAACAAGCACAACATTTTTTTTCTATTATTTTTGATGTTTTATGCCTTGTCTTAAGACTTTACTAGTATATATGAAAATGTAGTTACTTCAAATTTTCTCTGACATCATACTTCCTACACTTATCTGTATCGTATTTAGAATAGACTAAAGTAATAACAAATAGCACTTTATTTTCTAATACAACATATAATATAAAAATGTGGAGATAATTTATAGCACTATTTTCAGGCATGATTTAAGCCATAAAAACAAACCACCACTTTAAAAGTGTTCTTACATATAAGTCCTTACTAAGTTTAACAAAAAGTTTGCAAACAACAATATAAATTAATTAAGTTTTACAACTATAAAAATCATGAACCATTTAGACATTATTCTTTTGTAAATGAAATCAACTGGCTATTCTATAATAATTAATTGACCTACCGTAATTCAAAGGTTTTTTTTGGTTGTTTATTTTTTTTTGGGGGGGGGGGGGGGTTTCCATATACTGACACACTTAACAATATACAAAACAAAGTAATACACTTTGTACAGGGCAATCAGTAATCATGTGATATTCTTAATAAGGTTTGCTTGTGGTAATATAAAACAAGGAATGTCCAATGAAAGGAGCACAAAGGCCTGTTGCAAAAAAAACATCTAAAAGAAAAAGAAAAAAGAAAAACGATAACTAATTAAGAAATCAGTCTTATAATAACAACAATCAAAATCATAGTTTCATGAAAATAGCTGCTTAACAAAAACAATTACATTGTTCACTACTTAGGGGCAGTAACTCTTGTGTGATTGAGTATTAATATCATCTTGACCTGAATTCTACAGAAAAAGCAAGACAAATGGTAATTAAAAGTATATACTATACTTTTAAATAACCATGCCAAAAATTTGTTGACCACAAGATTCTATATCAAATTACAAATAAATATTATGCAATATCTCAATTAGCAAGGCCCACCAAATTAAAATTTGTTTACTGGAAAAGAAATCACATATCAAGTTTTTAAAACATCTGCATGCTATAGCCCTCCCCCTTTTTAATTATAAAAAAATAATAAAATAATTTGAGCAGGCTAAAGCTTACAAATTTTATAAATACATGTATATTGACACTACTATAAACCTTCCAAATTATACTAATGATTGTTTCTTCACTAGTGAAGTATCTTAATAACCTTAAATTCCTCTAAAAATATGCATCAAACAGCAAAGTTGGATCTTACAAGCAAACCAATAAAATTAGCCATTACTGCAGAAAATTGAAATTAAACTTATATCATTTCCAAATGTTCCACAATTAAACTTGATCATGAGATATTAACGAGTCACAGAAGTATTACGCTATTACAATTTAGTAGTGGGAGTGTATGATCAACATAACCAACCGTCACTTGACTTTAATACAAACATACATTAAAAATCAGCAAAAAAAAAACAGTCGCAGAAAACTACTCGTTAATAAATAACATGTCCATGTACATAACCATGTAGCCGTTTAACAAGTTTCAGTTCTTGGAATACAACATTAGAAAAATTTTACATCTCCATCAATGGACTTGGAGCTCCCTTCAGAAATTGTCAGACTCTTCACAGAGTCCCCTGATGCTATCTTATTGAAGCTTGGCACACTAGATACTCCTGTGATTGGATCTAACATGTCCTTCTGTCTGGTATCCGTGGCATTAATAACTCTCATTGTATTGGTGGATCCTGAGCCTGGTTTCCAGCCTGTTACTATGACAACTGAGTTGCCTGGATTGATGAACCCTCTGAGCATTCCTACGTTGATACCCATATAGATTCTACGATCCACATCTACCGTCCATTCACTCATAACAGACTCTATAAATAGAATATCATGCTATTAATACAATGTTCTATAGATAGATTCTACGATCCACATCTACTGTCCATTCACTCGTAACAGACTCTATAAATAGAATATCATGCTATTAATACAATGTTCTATAGATAGATTCTACCATCCACATCTACCGTCCATTCACTCATAACAGACTCTATAAATAGAATATCATGCTATTAATACAATGTTCTATAGATAGATTCTACGATCCACATCTACCGTCCATTCACTCATAACAGACTCTATAAATAGAATATCATGCTATTAATACAATGTTCTATAGATAGATTCTATGATCCACATCTACCGTCCATTCACTCATAACAGACTCTATAAATAGAATATCATGCTATTATTACAATGTTCTATAGATAGATTCTACGATCCACATCTACCGTCCATTCACTCATAACAGACTCTATAAATAGAATATCATGCTATTAATACAATGTTCTATAGATAGATTCTACGATCCACATCTACCGTCCATTCACTCATAACAGACTCTATAAATAGAATATCATGCTATTAATACAATGTTCTATAGATAGATTCTACGATCCACATCTACCGTCCATTCACTCATAACAGACTCTATAAATAGAATATCATGCTATTAATACAATGTTCTATAGATAGATTCTACGATCCACATCTACCGTCCATTCACTCATAACAGACTCTATAAATAGAATATCATGCTATTAATACAATGTTCTATAGATAGATTCTACCATCCACATCTACTGACCATTCACTCATAACAGACTCTATAAATAGAATATCATGCTATTAATACAATGTTCTATAAATAGATTCTACCATCCACATCTACCGTCCATTCACTCATAACAGACTCTATAAATAGAATATCATGCTATTAATACAATGTTCTATAGATAGATTCTACCATCCACATCTACCGTCCATTCACTCATAACAGACTCTATAAATAGAATACCATGCTATTAATACAATGTTCTATAGATAGATTCTACGATCCACATCTACTGTCCATTCACTCATTACAGACTCTATAAATAGAATATCATGCTTTTAATACAATGTTCTATAGATAGATTCTACCATCCACATCTACCGTCCGTTCACTCATAACAGACTCTATAAATAGAATATCATGCTATTAATACAATGTTCTATAGATAGATTCTACGATCCACATCTACTGTCCATTCACTCATAACAGACTCTATAAATAGAATATCATGCTATTAATACAATGTTCTATAGATAGATTCTACGATCACATCTACCGTCCATTCACTCATTACAGACTCTATAAATAAATGTCAGTTGTAATACATTGTTTAAGAATACCTTTTGAAAAAAAAATCCTAATAAAGCATTTTGGAGAAGGGGGATTTTGTGACTTTTAAAGGTCAAAGTTATTTTTCATTCAAAGTGTTTTCAACCAAAACATATACTAATTTTACAGCACTATCATTTGAAAAAAAAACTAATTTTCTATGTACATTATCTTTACTATATTTGTAAAAGGATTTGGCCAAATACCACAAAAAATTACCCTTCCCATTTTTAACACAAAAGGCCTAAATTTTTACTGAACATTAAGTCCAAGTAATATGAAGACTTGACTAGACCATTAAAATTTTTTAACAAGATTTATACTGGAGATAAAATTACCTCTACTTTTAACCTTCAATCCAGTAAAGACCCTCCCCTCTTTTTTTAAAGGACTAAACCAAAGATTTTTGGATTCCTGCTTATGGAATATTGCATAATTCAGAAATTATTGTGTACATTTATTATTGCCATTTAGTCATTTTACACCAAAATGCGATTTTAATTTTTACGATAATGAGAAAAATCCTGCTGCATTCGTATAAATTTTCCAAAATGCGAGTTTCAATTATTACGATTACAACACTGTAGCATTTTTTCGCAATAATAAAAACATCACAATAATTTCCAAATTTACAGTAACAGAATATTAGTTTATGTTTGTAATTCAAATATATAAAATCTAAAAATCTATATCAGAAGAATAAAAAGCTTACCGGTAAAGCAAGTTTAGACAATAAATAATAATAAACATAGCACAATGAAAAGCAATGAAAAAGCAACATGCAACAATAAACAATGTCAACTTATGAAACCGTAAAAGAAAAAGATTAACAGAAAATTTAATGTCAACTAAATGCTAACTTACATTTTCAAAATTTCAAACCTTTCCATACTTATTGTTCTGCCAACTACTATCAATCCATGTTTCTTTGCTCTTGGCACCTTCTCACAATTTTATTTTTTTTTGGGGGGGGGGGGGGTCTCATGATTTCCATCATTGGTATTTACCAATTTGAAATAAAAGAAGAGAGGTCTTGCCAAATCAAACAATGGAATTCTCTAATTTGCAAGACAATGTCTATAGTTTTCAAAAGGAAAAACAAAAAGCTGTTTTAGTATGACCAGTTTATTTCTAAAATCACCACCATTTGAATATTTTCAAATCATGAATACTATGGGGTGAATCATGGACAGGAAAGTGACAGAAAGACGGGTCAATGACACCAATTCACGGGACATTAGCACTGACTTCAAACACCAATTTCTCTTTTTATTTTCTTAAGGCAAATTTATAAGAGGTATTTTCTAATATTTTTTTTTAAAATTCTATTATTGAGTTTTCTTTCTATTCACACAAAAACATGTTTTTTCCATATATAATTCTTACGAAATCTGTCAATTTGGCAAAAGCTGTAGCTTGTAATAAAAGCCTAAGGACCCATAGTTTTTAAATTATTTTTGAATAAAGATTGATATAAACTACAATTTGGCAAAGTATGAAAATGTTCTATTGTTTTAAGACCCAATACATCTTAAAGCAGAAAAAGACAAGTCTGAAGTAAAACAAAACGGCCCCAAATATCTTTTTACCAGGGGCATACACATATTTATGGATAAAAGAATCACTGGTATCCATTTTTTGGTGTGGATTGCACAAATTACTGATAAATCTGAAACCATGCACTCTTCCCCTAATAGGGTGATATAACAGGACAAAAGAAATAAAAAGATTTTTTTTTCTTTTTAATAACAAACAAGTGAGTTGATAAAGCAGCAGCAGTAAGGCCATATTATGTTTGATTATTCCTTTGGCACAAATTAATAAATAAATATGACAATGTATGAGGTAGTGTGTATCATTCTCCACTTTGTAGAGCTGCTGATGATCAACACAAATCAAGAAAATTTTTCAACAGATTGTCAACATTTGCACTAAGGTCTTGAGAATGTTCAACATTTCTTTGACAGAGAGTTAACTAAATAGTTAATCGTTATAGTCTGATATGACTGGTGTTCCAACGATGGGATCCCCCTCTTTGGAGGGAGTGCTTATTATTCTCATTGTGTTTGTATATCCACTGCCACATTTCCAGCCTGTAACAATAATAATAGGATCTCCTGTCTTGATAAACTTCCTGAGCCTTCCTACAGAGAGTCCCTTGTATATCCTTTTATCCATGTCCTCAGCCCAACCACCTTCTGTTCTGGGTTCTGTGTACAAATAAAGCAAACACAAGCATGCAAGGTGGAGGTTATAAAATGAACCAATGTGAAACTAATTGTGTTTTTTTTTTTATATACAAGATGCATAAATTCAGAAGATATATCTGAGCATGAGAAGGTTTGCAATTTGCCATTGAATTATATTAAAGTAATAAAATTTTCAAATTTGTTGACTAAAACATTGTAAATGACAGATGTAAAATGTTAGCTATTTTAAATGAAATGTCAGCAATTTGATATTTTCTTTTTACCAAAAATACATTGTTGAAACTGATAAAATAAACATTTTTTTTTGCATCAATAAAGAAAATTATGCCAATATTGATTGTAAATTTTTAAGTGTATTTCATTCTAAGTAGAAGGAAAACCTTCTATTACTTCAAATTATTCTTGTTACTGTAAACCAACTTATTTTTGCAGATACTTTTTTGCCTTCTATTTTTTCTGGTCAACTTCAAAGCAACTTATTTTATGATATTTCTTATGTTGATGTTTCCATATAATGGAAGATCCTAGTTTGACATATTCACAAAAATTTAAATTTGTGTAACTTTTCTACTTGATAAACGTCGCATAAATAAAATGCTGGCAAAAATTAGTTAGTTTACAGATCAAGTTTCACATTGGTTAAAAGGTCGTTACTTCAGAGCAAGAGCATATCTGATTTCTAAGCAGTACTATGAAAACATTCAAAGCAGTATAAGGTAAAAAGCATGCTATAGCCAAGCTATATATTCATTGAGGGAAGCGTGTAAACATTGTAATGCAGTCATCAAACTTTTACTTACTAACTTTAATTCTGTCATTGATTCTAAATTCTTTCTAGTCCTGAACATGCATGAAATATTTGCCACTGGACTTAAACAAACTACAATTAATCTTAATTCAAAATTATGTGCTGTGTGTAAGTTTCATAACATTTGGTTGAGGCAAACTAAAGATAGAGAATGGAAACTATTTTTGAGACGTACAGACGGACAAGGGTTACACTTAATGCCGGGCATAAAAAATTAAAAACTCTTGTGCCTAGTTGTTTAATGGCAATCAAACCACATATCCTTATTTTTATATAGAAAGTCTGTTATTGTTCATTTACTACTATAAATGTACATCCTTAAAGCTTTTCTACAAGGATTTATGATTGACAGAATGTAAAGTAAATGTTTGATGACTGCAGCAGTGCTATTTGTACCCTTCACCTTCCACATGCAACATGCAGATGTCAACAAGCTACTTTGTGATCAGAAGTGATTAAATAAATACTGTGGATTCATTTATTTTGGTGATTACTCATTTTTGTGGATTGAGGAAAATTTTATGTTTGTGGATAATTGATTTCATATTTTTTCCAAAGTCTGCATAGAACCCAATAGAAAATTTGTATTTTGTTGAACATTTAAATTTGTGATTTACCTATACTCACGAAATTCAAGAAAATTGGAATCCACGAATAATAATGAATCCACAGTTGATGTTTTGTAAGATTCGGTAATTTTCATTGGCAGACAACAATTGTGAAGCATTCCAAATTTTTAAAAACATTTCCTAATAAAATGAAACATCTTTTTTGCTGCGTGTGCTTTCCATGATAATATTACAATAATGAATAAGAAAACAAACAAAAAAGCTTGTTTAACTTTATAGATTAAAATTTCACAAATATTTTTAATAAATGTGAAAGGTGTGAAAGGTACAGATTTTGCTAAATTTAAGCATTACTAGAAACATACACCAATTAAAGCAATCTTTGTCCAGACTAAAACTAACTTTTCTTTTCCATTTGTTTTATCTGAGTCAAATTTGATTTAGTTTTTTTTGTTCCAGATACATTCCATATAAAAAAAATTGGGGGCGGGGGGGGGGGGGGGGGGGGGGTATATCTTACATGAGCACATAGTGGAACTACAGCTAAATATATCTTCAGGGTTGTTTCACAAAAAAAATAATTTTCCCTATTACATGTCACATTCTGATTTTGATAAAAACCTAGAATCAAGAGTGTTCCTAGTTCCAGTGAACACAGAAACTCTGGTTGCTTCACATGTAATTTTACCCAATTTTCATTGTTCCAACTGTTAATTTCAGTGGCTCCTTTGAAATCAAAACATAAACGAATGAAGGCAACTGAATATTTTAAGCTCTTTCAACCTAACCTTGCGACCATAAAAATCAACCAACCAAAATACTGATTTTGGTGTTTTGAGCCTAAATTTTGTACTGCTCCCCAACACTTAGTAAAGTTTTATTGTGCCCTAGTCTAGCGTAATAGATATTTACTACTCCACTTACCTGTGTCTAAAGGATTACCTGAAATGATATAACTTACCGTTATAATGTATTGGGAATATGCCTCTCCAAAGATGACCCTGTCGTGCTGTCTGTGCATTTCTTGTAATAGCAAGTATAGGACAACGTGGACGGTAGGCAGAGATCAAGTGAGCAGATCTACAATATAATAATTATTCCTTTTAAAAAAGCAGATCAACGATATAATAATTACTTCCCTTTATAAAATTTCATAACAACCCCAACCTCCCTATTTACAGACGCCATTAGAAATATTTGATTTTTGTCCAAGAAAAAGAATTCTTTCTCTATACATGTCTCTCTTTGTCTCTACTCTTCTCTTTGCGTCTCTACATGTCTTCCTTGTCTCTACATCTGTTTTTGTCTCCACATGTCTTCTTAGTCTGGCCATGTCTCTCTTTGTCTCTACATCTGTTTTTGTCTCCACATGTCTTCTTAGTCTCGCCATGTCTCTCTTTGTCTCCGCACGTCTTCCTCATCACTGCATGTCTCTCTTTGTCTCTACATTTCTCTCTGTTTCCACATGTCTCTCTTTGTCTCTACATGTCTTCCTTGTCTCTACATGCCTCTTTTTGTAAAATCAAAGAGACAACAACCTGACCAAAGAGTCTCTACATGTCTCTCTTTGTCAATATGTATATCTTTGTCTCTACACCTCTTCCTTGTCTCTCTTTGTCTCTACATTTTTTCCTTGTCTCTTCATGTCTCTCTTTGTGTCTACATGTCCTCCTTTTCTCTACATGTCTCTCTTTGTCTCTTCATGTCAAGAACCTTGTCAGTGGTCATCTATATTTATATCTTAATTTTTTCTTTACACAATATTGATAATAGTCTGTTAAATGTATTCACAACTTGTCTAGACTCTTACCGATTATGATTTTGACATATTGAACACGTTTCTATTGTATGATACCATATCTCAGACTCTGAATCTATCTCATGGATAACTTGAATTATTCAAGCACTTTTCAAAGGTGAGAAATAAATAGAATGCAGCATCAAAATGATTCTGATCATATCTACACAGGAAACAGTTCAAGTACCTATATAGAGAACAATTTTGTAAACATGATGTATACAAATCATGCAACCAAAATTTAAAATGAAAGTTCTCAACAATTTAATACTTACCCAATCACATTTTTAAAATAAAATATAAACGTAACAAAATTGTAAAGGAGTATGTTCGATGAGAACCTAAAATGGCCATGACTGAATTTACTCCTTTCCAGTACTTAGTGCAAACTATATTTTTGTAAACGTTTCATCATTTTGATTTATTTTTTATACATATCAACACTTTTTTTTAAGTATTACAAATTAATTTGTTGTTTGTGACTATAAAATGTTTGTTACAATAAAGTGAACATTAAATTGATAATAACCAACCTTCCAGAAGTAGTAATGACAATGATAGCAGCAGCCATACATTTAAATGAAGCTTCAACAGCAGCTATAGCAACAGTGTGTGTAGGTTCTGTTGGTGTAGGTGTGTGTTTCCTCAACTCTTCAAACAACTGGGTGTGAAATACTGCTGATTCAGCTTCTCTACAGATCTGTAATAATATAACAAGATGAAAAATACTGCTGATTCAGTTTCTCTACAGATCTGTAAAATAATATAACAAGTTGTAAAATACTGCTGATTCAGCTTCTCTACAGATCTGTAAAATAATATAACAAGTTGTAAAATACTGTTGATTCAGTTTCTCTACAGATCTGTAATAATATAACAAGTTGTAAAATACTGCTGATTCAGTTTCTCTACAGATCTGTAATAATATAACAAGTTGTAAAATACTGCTGATTCAGCTTCTCTAAAGATCTGTAAAATAATATAACAAGTTGTAAAATACTGTTGATTCAGTTTCTCTACAGATCTGTAATAATATAACAAGTTGTAAAATACTGCTGATTCAGTTTCTCTACAGATCTGTAATAATATAACAAGTTGTAAAGTACTGCTGATTCAGCTTCTCTACAGATCTGTAATAATATAACAAGATGTAAAATACTGCTGATTCAGTTTCTTTACAGATCTGTAATAATATAACAAGTTGTAAAATACTGCTGATTCAGCTTCTCTGCAGATCTGTAAAATAATATAACAAACTTGTAAAATACTGCTGATTCAGCTTCTCTGCAGATCTGTAAAATAATATAACAATATGTAAAATACTGCTGATTCAGTTTCTCTACGGATCTGTAATAATATAACAAGTTGTAAAATACTGTTGATTCAGCTTCTCTGCAGATCTGTAAAATAATATAACAAGTTGTAAAATACTGCTGATTTAGCTTCTCTGCAGATCTGTAACGAAAAGAAAATAGGATTTTAAATACTGTTAACCCAGCTTCTGTAATGATCTGTAATGATAAAAACACAAGAATATACAACCTGTAGTGCTAAGCATACCCAACTCGTTAATTCAAAAAATCATAAAACAGTAAATAGGTATCTGACATATAAAAAAGTGGTTATCAAGCTGGTGACCAAAAATGAAGTCACTCTTTTCAGCAGTACTCAAGAAAAGTGTGACAAAAATACTTATTTTCATTAAACATACATGTTTTAAGAAAGTCAAAGTCTGTGCAAACAAAATTCTTTAAAGACAAAACAACTATTTGTAAAATACTGGATTCAACTTCTCAACATCTGACAGAATAATGCTGTGATTTGTACTGATCTACAAAAAACAACTGGATTTGGCCATCAAATTCAACATGTCAGGCACAAAAGATTAATAAAATCTGCCTTTTGATGTCTCTAGAATTGGCATTTGTTCAAATAGATGAAAACCTATATCAAGGACAAGACAAAACAACAATTAAGACATATTAATTCAATGACTATCACCTTGTGCATTATTTGGACTGCTTCTAATGGATAATCTCCCTTTGCTGTCTCCCCTGACAACATGACACAATCAGCTCCATCTAAGACAGCATTGGCTACATCACTTGTCTCTGCTCTGGTCGGACGAGGTTTCTTAACCATACTTTCTAACATCTGAAATAAATCGACATGGGATATACAAAATATCATTTTACCATTTACAGGACCTTATTATGGGACTCTGATATTCTAAATAAAATAAGAGACCTATTCTTTTGAAACATAAAATGTACAGAAAAGATTTTGTAAAACCTCCTGTAGAGGGGATACAAAGAAGCAGATATCAAAAAATGTATTTTTTCAATAATACACATTATTTCACATTGGTATTATATTAGTAGGTTTTTCTACACAAATTGGACTTTGAGTTAAACAGCATATTCACTTGAAGAAAAATTTTATTTAGTGCTATTTAAGCGTCACATGCTTTTACATGTATAATTATGGTAAAATGCTTGATGCGCAATTGGTTTCGATAAAAATAATTGTCACAATAATTGTCTAAATAAGGAATAAAACAACTACTGTCTTTTGTTTTGACAAATATGTGGTTAAATTGACTTTTGAAAAACTGATATTGCCTCAGTGAATATCATCTTTTTTTAGTGAATAAAACCACATATTTACATCATTAAAAGACAGTAATTGTATAACAATAAACCTATAAGAATAAAATAAATCTCTGAACTTAAAGTTACAGCAAGAAATCTGGCAACCACTGAAAATATTCTAGAATATTTCTTGTCTGACAACTATCTATACAATGCATGTTTTTATTTTACCGTCTAAGTGGTCTAGTGGAAGCATGCTAGCTTGGAGTGTAACAAGCTATGAGTTTAATCCCTGGCTTGAGCAACACAAAGTTATAAGCATCAGTTTTAACTGCTTCTTTTCCAAGTATACAGCATTTAGGAGAATGACTGGGTCCGAGTCTTAATAGTGTGTCCTGATATGGTGACATCACTTCAGGTTAATAACAATTAACATAGGGTGACATCACTTCAGGTTAATAACAATTAACACAGGGTGACATCACTTCAGATTAATAACAATTAACATTTAGAGATAGCATGTTCAAAATTTGTAGTCAGAAGATTCTAATGGCTTCCTACTATTAACTATGGAACAACTACAAAATTTTCACCAAATTTCATGGACAATAGCCTTCTGAACCTGTGACTTAAAGGTTATAATGTATATATCTGTATGAACTCTGTTATACAGGGGAATTTCTCTGTGGATTACCTGAGTTGCACATATAACTGGTTTTCCTGCCCTATTACATCTCCCAATCATCATTTTCTGTGCTAAGAAAACTTTTTCTGGTGGAATTTCAATTCCCAAATCTCCTCTGGCTACCATAATACCATCTACTGCCTCTAAAATTTCATCAAATCTAAAATATAAATCATTAATACCTATATAATTAATTTTGTATAGTGATGTTTTCATAACCAACTTAAATTGTTTGTATATACTTAGTTAGTAAAAACAAGTAATTTTACTTCATCATATGAATTTGCTCATTTTTGAAGGCTGAACCATGACCTATTATTTGTTTACATCCTTGTCTTTTTTTCTCTGTTGGATACTTGTCTCAATGCAATTATACAACATTTTTGTTTACTTTTATATCACTTTGAAACCACTTCACAGCTTTTCATTTTAGCAATAAGCAATGGCGACTCACTTTTTACCCTTCATTTCTATTTTAGCCATCATCTACCAACTTACTTTGCCACACCTTCATGGTTTTCTATTTTAGCAATGATCTACCGACTTACTTTGCTACACTTTCATGGTTTTCTATTTTTACAATAATCTACCGACCTACTTTGCCACACCTTCATGGTTTTCTATTTTAGCGATAATCTACCAACTTACTTTGCCACACCTTCATGGTTTTCTATTTTAGCGATAATCTACCAACTTACTTTGCCACACCTTCATGGTTTTCTATTTTAGCGATAATCTACCAACTTACTTTGCCACACCTTCATGGTTTTCTATTTTAGCGATAATCCTAATATGTTTTCCCTTGTCTCCCAGAAGATCACGGATTTCTTTGATATGAGATGCACTTCTTATAAATGAAGCAAACACCATGTCTACCTGTAAAAATAAACAATTCATTTTTTTAATTTTTGATTTTTTAAAAACATTTACCTGCATAGCCTTTTCAAAATAGAAAAAAAATTACCTCAATCAGATGGGTATTTACATTTGCAAATAACTTAATACTTTACTCTGACAAATTGTGAACCTATCAAATTAATCACTCCTTTTCCAATTAAAGCATACCAATTTATACTTTAGTCTGGGAAACATAGTCTATTTATTTGCTAGCTTTCAGTAACTGTGAGTACTCTCAGATCAGTACTTAGTGTACTTCTTAGTACATGTAATAATCTGAAGAGCTAAGCCTGTTTCAACTTTATTTTACAGTTGATACTGATAATGTTCTCTTACAACTCTGTCCAAGGTTACAGAGGGTTGACTGTTTTAAAACATGCATAACCAGCCACTTTTTAAGTCCCCATCCAAAATCATGAGCCTGTAGTCTGAATTTGTAGTTGGTAGCCATTATTGGTTTTTGTTTAAGGCTGTAATCAGACCAATAGTTCTCTCTTTTGAAGGTTTACATTTTCTTATCCTGGGTCTCTTTATAGCTTACAATATAGTACGGGTTTGCTCAATGTTAAAGGCCGCACTAACACCTGTAGTCGTTTACAACTTTGTCCTTCGGTGGATAGTTTTCTCATTGGTAAGCATACCTTATCTTTATCATTTATATCAATAAATAATTCCACAAGGTAAACGCTATATTTTACGCATTTTTTAATAAGTTTTTTAAATTTGGAAGGTATAAAATGCTTCCAGTTCCTTAATTCAGTCCTTTTCTATGAAAGCATTTTAATATGTTAGTGTAAACATATTCTATATATTTAATTCAAGTAAAATAATATTCACAATTTGGCCTAAACATTCATATATTTGAATAGTTAATAGGATCCGGAAACAAGCTGTCAACTTATATTAACCAGTTTCATATGCTTATGAGTCTTATGTAGATGAAACTTGAGTCTGGCGTACCAAATTATACGCCTGCTATCTTTAATCAATATTTTTTATGTCAAGAAATGATCTATACATGTGTGTTGATGTATAAATTTTGTACAACACTAACCCCCTGGTCCACACCAAACTGAAGATCCTTTTTGTCTTTTTCTGAAACAGCAGGTAAATCAACAGGTGTTCCTGGTAAGTTACACCCTTTTTTACTGCCAAGGTCACCACCATTCTCTATATCACACAGCAACCAGTCAGCACCTGGAATAACAAATATAAATTCAACTCTTTCATTGGTGTTAACATGATCATGTGTCATTCTTTAATTTACAAGAATTTTTTTTTTATCTTGCATCATGATGTTAATGCCCACTCTTGATTTTAGAGTTACTCCCCTTTTTATCTTAAATTCTATTTTTTCAATGAAATTAACAGAATACTAACATTTATGAAAAGGGCATTCTCATGAAAAATGGATGACCATTGGGACAGTAGTACTGACTTATGGTTCATATACCTTTTCTATTCCATTTTTCAATAAGTTTTCCATCACTTTCCAAACATGTTTAACAAAATTTCCAAACCAATTATAAACCAGAGAGCAATTCTAAATACTGTATTAAAACATATTTGTGCTCTTTGGTAAAAATGAAACCATAATAAATCTTTAATAAATGGGGAATGTGTCGATGGGACACAGATGATGCCCCCGCTTGCATATAATGTTATAAAGGGACATAACTCAAGAACTGTAAAAGTGACGCTACCCAAAGGACAAGGTATGATAAGGGGTGTTTTTGGCCCCTTCCCGAAAAAGTTTATATATAGATCATTGATAGCCTTTGTATAGAAACTAGACAAAACAATGATTGTTTTGTGTTCTGGTGAAAGAAAGGTTGCTTAGCAACGGTTTTATTAAATAGCCAAATTATCACTTATGCATTGCTTTCTCATTACAAATTAGCATAATTCAAAATAGTATTGTTTTTTTTATAAATAACTTAAAGTTGCAAATGAATATTCACTTCAACTTCAGATTATTAAATGCTATCAGCAACCTAGAAACAAAAATATTGCCTAGCAACGGTTCAAAAATTTGTAATTTCTGCCATATGGGGTATAAATATAGCAATGTTTGATGATTTAGCTGCCATAAATGATTTTTCATTCATAAATGATGTCTGAGTCATCATTATTCTTTTTTTAAGAAGTTCATATTGAGCATAGCAACAGCCAAAAAAGATAAAATTAAATTTAACTACAAAAAATACATTTGTTTTTTTATTGTACAAATTAGAGTAAAAGCAATTCAGATTGGTTTATAAGAATAACAAGCAGTAATAAATGAAAGTAATTCAATTGTATATCATGCTAATCAACAATTAAGCAACCAAAATAGTGCTTAGCAATGGTCAAATAATGTTTTTTTTTTGTTACCTGAAGTATAATTTTGATTTTGATAAGTAATTATCTAGCATTTTTTAATTTAACTCATATCTTGTTAACAACAGAAACAAGCATTCTGTGAGTATTGCATGGCAATACATAGTCCTCTACCGGTTACAAATTCATTGTAATGGAACGTAATTCTAACTTGATCTATAACTTGTCATGGTGTAAACTACATAAAAATATCAAGTCAAAATCTTCAAGCATGATGAAATAAAATGCTCTGCTGGGGCGCAGCTTGATACGACCACAGAGGTCGAACCCTGAACAGTTGGGGCAAGTATGGACACAACATTCAAGCTTGATACAGCACTGAATTTGGATTGTAATTAAATATTTGACACAGCATAGGTTTCTGACACAAAATGAAAGTGGTCAAAGAACTTAAAAATTTTTAATTTACCTATTCAAACCATATCATTATTATTTGCTTTTATATATAAATCAGAAATAACCAATTTAAAATGGAAAATTTTAAAGAAAAAAAAGGAAGAAAAAAATCCCCCCCCCCCCCAAATTTTTTGAACCCCCTTATGATGCATCACCCCCAAACTCAATTCCAGCCTTTCCTTTGTGGTATGGTACCTTGCAGTATAATATCAGAGAGATCCATACACTTGAACACAAGTTATTGTCTGGAAACTAGAAAAATGCTTGTTTTTTGGCCCCAAATTCCTAAACGTTTAGGGCAATTACCCCCAAACTCAAACCCAGCCTACCCTTTGTGGTATGGTACCTTGCAGTATAATATCAGAGAGATCCATTCACTTGAACACAAGTTATTGTCTGGAAACTAGAAAAAATCTTATTTTTTGCCCCTTTTTGGCCCCCAATTCCTAAATCTTTTGAGCAATTATCCCCAAACTCAATTCAAGCTTTCCCTTTGTGATATGGAACCTTGTAGTACAATTTCATAAAGATTCATACACTTACACACAAGTTATTGTCATGAAACTAGAAAAATGCTTGTTTTTTCCCCCTTTTTGGTCCCTAATTCCTTAAATTTGGAGGCAATTACCCCCAAAATCAATCCAAGCATTCCCTTTGTGATATGGAACCTTGTGGTACAATGTCAGAGAGATCCATACACTTACACACAAGTTATGTCTGGAAGTTACAAAAATGCTTATTTTGGCCCCTTTTTTGGCCCCTAATTCCTTAACTGTTAGTACCATAACCCCCAAAATCAATCCCCACCTTCCTTTTGTGGTATTGAACCTTATGGTAAAATTTCATTGAGATCCATTCACTTAAACTAAAGTTAGAGTGCGAAAACTAATGTGTCTTCGGATGACGACGACGACGCCAACGTCATACCAATATACGACCACAAAATTTTTTTTGCGGTCGTATAAAAAACTGTTGAAAACTGATTATTTAAGTGAATTTTCTATGTCCAAAGACCATAACTCTGCACAAAATTATCAGACTGGAACAAAATTCCATCTTGATCTGTAACTTGTCATGATAAAACTATATACTAATTATCAAATCAATATCTTCAAGAATGACAAACAAACCTACCACTAAATTCTTCAAACAATTTACCAAAGAAAAGGAAAAAAATCCAAAATGTCATTTTGTCTTTTAAAAAATGAGTTATTTCCCTTTGAAAATAAATCTACTAATTAATAATTATTTCATCAAAAATTTAATTCTAGGGAAAGGGCTTTAACTGAACAAAGAGAAAAGCTAAATCGTGAAAATTGAACTTGACCTGCAACTTGTCATGATAAATCAATAAACCAAGTATCAAATCAATATCTTCAAGCACGAAGAACAAAAGTCTGGAAAACTATTTGCCGGACTGACAGATGGACAGACAGACAGACAGACGGAAGGAGTGCAAACCTAAAGTCCCCTTTGACTTCGTTGGTAGAGGACTAAAAACAGGATTAAATCAAAGAGAGCTACCAAGGAATTGGTCAGATTATTCCACAAAAATGCATAAATGCAAATCAGATTGTCAAATAATCATTAACAAGTTAGGTAAAATAAAAAACAAAACTTTATAGTGACACTTATATTCATAAATAATAGTAGAATTAATGAATATATATAGCATTAGCAGTACATATACATGATGATTACATTAAAAAAATTCGTAAGGGTTCCGCGGAACCCAGTGTCTCGCCTACTTTTTCTGTTAATCACAGGCTCAACAAAAATGAGGAAGTAAATCAATAAAAATATTCCTCTTGATACTATCTTTTGATTGTAAGAAGCTTCTGTCCAAGTTTGGTAAAATTCCAGGATAGTTTATGAATCTAATAAATGTTTAAAAACTTTAACTGCAGACTGAATGTAATGTTAACTGGAAGAAAACAAAATTTCCTTCTAGATACTAGCATTTGATCATAAACAAGCTTCTGTCCAAGTTTGGTACAAATCCAAAATAGTATAAGAAAGTTATTAAAATTTTAAAAACTTTAACCACAGAGTGAATATGTTGTTTCCTGGCAGAAAATCTAAGTCCATTTAAAAGTAAAATAAGGAAAAAATGGATTTATTTTTTTACAAAATTTACTTCTAGATACTATCTTATGATCATAAACAAGCTTCTGTCCAAGCTTGGTACAAACCCAGGATAGTTTAAGAAAGTTATTAAAATTTTAAAAACTTTAACCACAGAGTGAATGTAATATTTACCGGCAGAAAAACTAAGTCCATTTATAAGTAAAATACGGAAAAAATGGAATTTTATTTTTACAAAATTTACTTCTGGATACTATCTTATGATCATAAACAAGCTTCTGTCCAAGTTTGGTAGAAATCCAGGATAGTTTAAGAAAGTTATTAAAATTTCAAAAACTTTAACCACAGAGTGAATATTTGTGGACGACGCCGACGACAACGACGCCAACGACGCCGACGGAATGTAGGATCGCTATGTCTCGCTTTTTCGACTAAAGTCGAAGGCTCGACAAAAACACAAAAAGCGGTTAAAAATACTATTGAAAATTCTGTATCTGATTAATACGGTTTAAGTATTTATGACAAATATGCGTTGCTTGTGCAATGCCATTGTTTGTCAGTTTAAATATCCTACACTGTGAACTTTTTAACACTTAAAGCAATATTTTAAATAAATTAATACTGAACGCAAAGTTCAAAGTTCTCGTTGAGGTCAGGGTGCAAGACATAAAAAACACTCAAGAAGATGCGTAGACGAAGAAGACCTTTATGAACATTTTCAACTTTCTCTGAGAATTCATTGTTTCTACGATAGATTTTCTGAAATTAACGCATTGATCACCAATGAATAGTATCCCTTGCAATCATACCACATCTCCTTATTTTATCCAAAATGTGACGCTAATGTTTATATGGAAACATATACATATGTACTTGGTAAGAAATATTTTATGAAACCCAAAAATATTTGAATTTGATTAGAAAGGTACACATACTTCATTAAAACGTTAATGTTGAGGCTCTAATTAGTATTTGTGAAAATGGACACAGTAACAGGACACACTTTTAACCACAACTATGCAAAGTCCTGATTTATACAAAGCCGTTAAGTGGTTTCTTGAGAAAAATATAGATTAACCGATCAAAGACATCGAAAACCAGTGAAGAAATTCAAAAGTGTCATCAGTGCAACTTCTTAGAGGACTAAAATATTAAAATCTAATTATAGAAAATGATATAATTCAACATTATTTGTTGTTATTATGAAAGTGCAAATAGTTGCACCAGTTGCCCATATTTATGACGATGACTGCAATCAGAAATATATCATGCATATAAGCACAAGGAAAAAAAATTTAAGTGTGCTGTGTACTTACCAAACGTTCGAATCAGAACATTTGAGAGCTACTTCACAAGGTATCATAAAGCCTTACCCACACACATATTTCCAACTCAGAGATGACAAGTCTTTGCTTTTACAGATATAAAACCACTTATTTGGGCCAGTTGAAACTTTGTTGAAATTTTCCTTTGAATAATAAAAATAAAAAACAAACTAGATATGGACGATGCGCCCTGTTTAACCTATTAAATATTAAAGCTGTAGCTCAAAAACAGTAGGAGATAGCCGAAAAAAAACAACATGATCTCTTTATGCAGCTAGTATAAAAAAATGACCAAGTCCAAATACCTGGCATTTAAAGAATATTTGAAAAAATAAATCAAAATCCTATGGACATGCACACCTCTATTATGTGTAGAAACATCCTACAAAATATTAAAGCTGTAGCTCAAAAACTGTAGGAGGAGATAGCCAGACATATCATGTATCTATATCCAGACAGACAAAAAGACAACCGGATGGATGGATGGACGGATAGGTCTAAATTAATATGCCTGCTCCACATTTTGTCAAGGAGGGTATAAAATATGAAATTGAAATAAGAGGGCATAGTTTACCTGTACACTGATCAGGTCAGGAGTAATTTGTTTTGTACTACCATACTTCTAGGAACCAGTGCACTCCGGGATAAGGTATAGGTTTGGCATGAAATGATTGTCACTTAGATAGAACTTTAGACAAAATAGCTATAAATGTTTGAAATGGCAAAACTAAATACACATATTTCTTCACGCATACTTAGCAGGGACTTTATAAATCTGTTTGCCATGGGTCTTATCCAATTTGTATTTATGCAAGTAAAATATGTTGAAACTAAGCCTTTTTTTGTAGTGTTTTATTTGAAAATCCAAACAGGAGCTAAGAGAATGAAATGCTACTTTTATTTTATGAATACAACTTGTCAAATGAGTGCTTACATATATAAAGAAAATGTAGATATATATAAATAGGGTGTCAATATATAAAACATAGTAGAGGTTAAGAAGTTTCATGAACTTGCTTTCAGTGTCAACTGCACTTTTTACATGGAATAATGTTTTTTATCACATTATTTTGTTTTTATCTGCACATTGCACAACAATTTTGTCTATTGAAAAGATGACAAGGGGAGTTTTTTATGACCTTGACTGCCTGAGGGTCTTGCACGCTCGGCAATAATAGAGTGATGATGATGGCAGTGTTTAACGACCTTGACTAGCTATATAGCCCTCATACGGTCGGTCAAACAATAGAGTAAGCGATGTAGACGAAATGAAAGTATATAATAAATATAAGAAGATGTGGTATGAGTGCCTATGAGACAACTCTCCATCCAAGTCACAATTTATAAAAGTAAACCATTATAGGTCAAAATCTATTTTTCTGTAAATGGTAAAATAGAAAACTTTCAAGTGCAAAATATATTTGAGGAAATGAACAATTTACTTCAGAATTACAAAAAGAGTTTAAATTATGCAGACCTTATTATAAAATTCATTTTTTTCACTTTAATTGAATATTTGAAAATAATAATGAATGGAAATTAATTCACCATTTTTCAAGGGACACCACTCTGTATTATGTCTGCACCGTGGTAGACTTTTTTGCCTGGGTTTAATTACACATACAACATATTATCTTTAAGAGAGTGACATGTCTTGATGACTGGATACGACCTAAAAGCTATTCGTACGTGATATTCTGATTAATTGTGGACCCGGGAATAATCTCGTAACCAGTGCCGTTTCGTTTGATGTATTATATGGACTTGTCAAAATTGTAAACAATCGGATTATTTTTTAAATTTTAGACATCAGCGCCAAAGTAGACCACCGTGATATTTTATTAAATGAAAGATACACAAGTGTAGAGTTGATGGTTGAAAATTTCAGGATGGTCTACGTTGGCGCTGATGTCAAATTTCATCTACAAACATCACTAAATTGTAGATTTTTTACACTTTTCGTCGTTCACATCCTTTTCAAGGTCTATGTTTGCACAGATTTGAGCACATAAAACAATTAAGTAAGGTGCTACGTGGACGAGCAGATACTATAGTTCATTCCACAGGAGGGATTGGTTTCAACTTCAAAGTTTTAACTGGAAAAGGGGGGGCTAGAACAGCCATTATCATACCTTGTCCTTTGTACTTGATCTGAGTTTTGTGGTAATAAGCATTGTGTATACCTTTCATAAAAATTTGGTTGAGGCAAACTAAAGTAAGAGAACGAAAACGAAAAATTCAGCAATTTTTCCATTTATAAAGGGGCATAACTTTAGAACGGTAAAAGTGATGCCACCGAAATTCAAACTTGATCTGTGTTTTGTGGTAATAAGCATTGTGTATAAGTTTCATAACATTTGGTTGAGGCAAACTGAAGTTAGAGAACAGAAACAAAAAATTTTGCAATTTTTCCATTTGTAAAGGGGCATAACTCTAGAACGGTTAAAGTGATGCCACCAAAATTCAAACTTGTGTATAAGTTTCATAACATTTGGTTGAGGCAAATTGAAGTTAGAGAACAGAAACCAATTTCGGGACATTTGGAAGTTTGTACAGACGGACAAGGGTAATAAACTGCTTCGCTGAGCGCAGCTGGATACGCCCGCAGAGGTCTAACCCTGAACAGTTGGGGCAAAAATGGACACAATATTCAAGCTTGATACAGGCATTGACAGGTCTGAATTTGGATTGTAATTAAATATTTGACATACATCTATTATAGGTTTCTGAATAAATGAACTTGAAGTTGGTTATATGAATTGAATTTATATTCAATTAAAGATTTCTTGCTGTTGTGCAATACACTGTGCTGTTGCCCAATACTTAGTAAATCTGTTGTCAGACTAAAAACAAAAAAAATTATAAAATTCTAAAGGGAGCTTACATCAATAGATATAAACAGTTCACCAAAGTTTCATACGAATTGCTGAAAGCATTTTTGAGTTTTTGTCTGAAAACTGGAAAATCCCCCCTTTTTTAATGAATAAACCCCATAATTTGGAAATGTAAAATCTAAAATTTATAAATTTCTGAAGGGAGCTTACATCAATAGATATCAACAATTCATCAAAGTTTCATGAGAACTGCTGAAAGCATTTTTGAGTTATTGTCCGAAAACTGGAAAATCCCCCTTTTTTTTATGAATAAAACCCCATAACTCGGAAACGTAAAATCTAAAATTTATAAAAATCCTAAGGGAGCTCATGTCAATAGATATAAACAATTAACCAAAATTTCTTGCAAGTTGGTGAAAGTATTCTTGAGTTATAGTCCGAAAACTGGAAAATCCCCCTTTTTTTAATGAATAAAACCCCATAACTCGGAAACGTAATATCTAAAATTTATAAAAAAAACGAAACGGAGCTCATGTCAATAGATATAAACAATTAACCAAAATTTCTTGCAAGTTGGTGAAAGCATTCTTGAGTTATTGTCCGAAAACTGGAAAATCCCCCTTTTTTCAATGAATAAAACCCCATAACTCGGAAACGTAATATCTAAAATTTATAAAAAACGAAAGGGAGCTCACGTCAATAGATATAAACAATTCACCAAAGTTTTAAGCAAATTGGTTAAAGCATTTTTGAGTTAATGTCCGACATGTTGACGACGGACGGACGGACAGACGGACGGACAGACGGACGTACAACGGTATACCATAATACATCCCGTAAACGGGCGTATAAAAATTAATGCCCCCTCCACTACAGTGGGGGCATAAAAATATGACAAAATTTCATGGGACAGATGGATTGCTGATTGACATAGTGATGAAAAGAGGTACATCTGTATAACCCCCTTCCAATAATCAAGTGGGAGTATAAAGATATTAAATGAAATCACATCACTATTGAGAAGATCCCTAAAAACCACTACCTACCTTTCTCTTTAACCACAACAGATATAAGACCATCATCTATGAAGATCCGACCTCCGACCTCCATAACTTTGGTTATATTTTTGTAATCAACATACAGAAGATCTACGCTACATTCTTCATAATACTTTTCATCTGTTGTCAATTTAATCTGGTTCCCTGTCTTCAAGGAAACCTCAGCACTGGCTCCCTGTAAATGAAAAAAATCCTTTATTTACCATTAGGATTTCTTGAAAGAAAATCAACTTTATTTATCATTAAGATTTCTTGAAAGAAAATCAACTTTATTTATCATTAAGATTTCTTGAAAGAAAATCAACTTTATTTATCATTAAGATTTCTTGAAAAAAAATCAACGTTATTTATCATTAAGATTTCTTGAAAGAAAATCAACGTTATTTATCAATAAGATTTCTTGAAAGAAAAATCAACGTTATTTATCAATAAGATTTCTTGAAAGAAAATCAACGAAAGGTGAAAAATCAACAGAAAATGGCACACAATAGTTGAACATAAATGCCAGGTGAGATCAAAAGAGATCTTTATGCTCTATTTTCAAAATCTCCATATATAACTAAGAACTGAACAGAGGTTTCTAAACAAACTGATTACAATACTTTACCCCTTTTAGTAATCCTGTTCTGATTTCTGGACCTTTGGTATCCAGGGCGATGGCTACTGGTCTGGGATGACTGAACTTACTAACAGCCTCTCTGATGTTCTTAATTGTCTGACCATGATACTGAAACAAAAAACAATCATTATACATTACGGTTTCAAAGTTGTACCGTGTAGTTCTATGTTGTTCATATATTTTTATTACATATTTTCTTATAACTCTTAAATCAGTACATTATTGGTTGAGAAACTGAAATTATCGCCGGGTGTAGTGTATTTGTTTTGCTCATTGTTGCTCTTTATCATTTGGTTTTTCAGGGATAGTAGTCTAACTGGCAATCGTACTCATACCACATATTTATATTTTATATATTTTCATGACCATGTGAAGTTCTTTCATCTAAAACAACATGTATTTAGTCCTTATCACTATTTTAGTATAAAGCAGATGTCTATCTTGTGCAGTGAAAGAGGCTGTAAATTTAAAGGAAAGAATCCACTTCAAAAGGTAACCTACCTCATATGTTCCATGTGAAAAGTTGAGACGAGCTATATTCATTCCCTCGATCATCATCTTCTGTAGAGTGGGAACTGCTACACAAGCTGGACCTGTAGATCACAAAACAACCTTTTGATTACAATGACTATTTTCACACAAAAACAAGAATGTGTCCTTAGTACACGGATGCCCCACTCGCACTATCATTTTCTATGTTCAGTGGACCGTGAAATTGGGGTCAAAACTCTAATTTGGCTTTAAAATTAGAAAGATCATATTATAGAGAACATGTGTACTAAGTTTCAAGTTGATTGGACTTCAACTTCATCAAAAACTACCTAGACCAAAAACTTTAATTAGAAGCGGGACAAACGGACAGACGGACGAATGGATGGACGCAGAGATCGAAAAACATAATGCCCCTAGGTGGGCATAAAAACACTATCTTAATTGATGGAAACCAAAGTTAAATCTAGAACAGCCCTTAAATAATCAGTTTTGGTTAAATGCTAACAAAGAAGAAAAAAAAATAGTTCATAATTTTGTGAAACAAGCTGCTGAATACTTGAGGTCAATGCCATGCTCATTGGTTACAACTTGTCATATGATTTAAGATTATGTTTACACCTTTTGCTGACCTCTTGATCTTTTTTTATTTTATTTGCATTGACCATTGTCCAGTTAATGTCTTATTGATGTTAAAACCAAACCTCCTTAGATTGGTATATTAAGATAGCCATATAACCCAGATGCTATCTCAAATCTAAATCCTATAGTTGTCCTACATAATTGTAAAAATGTCCCTCAGGTAAAATGAAGTTAATTACAGTTTTTTTTAAGGCAATCATAATAATTTATGTAGAATTAATAAGATGTTGATGCACATCACAATTTGGACAATGGTTTGTGTGCATCATTGCATTGCTATCTATGATGTTTATTGATATTGTTATATATAGATATACTTGTTTTTGTTATATTGTATTTGAATTGTCTCCCCTTGACTATGGTTGTTATTAACTTTGTAACTCTATCAAACATGTCCTGTCCAACCCTTATATGTTAATGACCACCTCTGGTGCCTTTCATGTTCGAAGTCATATTATTGATAGAGATGTGGCATGTGGTAAGAAGAGGAGGTCAAAGCCATCATTAACTTTTCCTACATATTCATGTAGTTTATACCAGAGTGATAAGATGAGTATGATCAAGTAGATAATTATCATATATTTAAGCTTTAGACTGCTATAGAAAAAGTTAATATTAATACTTTTATTATATATTATATCTATATCTATGTATCTCAATGCTTGGAGTTCTTTCAGATAAAATGAAAAAATACCAAAAAAAAGAAATGCACTACCAAATAACTGTGGGCCATCTGACATATTATGAGGCACTATAATACTTAAAATCTTCCAAACTGGCTCCAGAAGAAGTTCTGAGTTTCCTGAAAGCAGATCTTATCAAAGATATATGATAATACCTGTGAACTTTCATTTAAGTTTGAAGGATATTATACATAATTATACTTCCTTGTGTCAATTTCACTTGCTACTTAAATTCTCACAGCATGGCTTTGAGACATGAGCAGAACTACCAGAACTTCATAAATTGTGAGAATAAGTTATCAGCAATCTGAGAGCAGAACTTATCAATCTGACTTGCATTAGCATGATTAGAATCAAGGGTAAAGGGTAAAAGACTAGAAATAGTATGATAAACAGATTAGCAGATTTTCTATTTATAGATATTGTAAAATATCAGCTGCTCAACACAATGTGAAACTATTTTGTTGGTTGGCTGCACTCACTCACCAAAAAGATTCACTCGTGGCTAGCAGCTGATATTTTACAACACCAGTGTGCAGAAAACAAGATAATCTATACATTCATGATGGTCATATCCAGGTTATAATAGTAAAGCACAAGTTCCTCTCACAGTTTGCTTACCTATGGTACAAATGATGCCACTCATTCTGACCTCATGTGGCTCAGAGTCAATGTCCAGCTTACACATGTGCTCTAAGTGTGATCTAGCATAGGCTGCCTGTAGCTGCTGTGACTGCCTATAATAGGCCCCTTCCTGTTCCATAGTGTCCAAATCAAACTAGAAATAAAGAACAGCCACAAATATATTACTTAACTGATCAAAATGAATGACATTAGTAAAATGAATTTCTATTGCATTATATAATAAATCAATAAAAGTCATTATTTATTCATTTGCAGTAAAAAAAAAGTTTTAAGTATGTTAAAGAAATATAAAGTTTATAACATTTACAATAAGGAAATTATCACATTCTATATTGATGAAATTACATCATACACAACTAAATAAATGACTAATGTTGTTGCGCCCCTTCACCAATTTTTCTCATTAGGATGAAAATCTCATCTGAGTCTAAATAACTATTTACAATAAGCTAAAAGCATCCTAAAATTCCAACCATTGTTTCACAGTAATTATGTCAGCTAACCTGTAACAAAATTCTCAAGTACAATTGTTTCAAAGTTGATTTATCTCCCAACTACTTACTGAAGATACTCTGTCTCTGAAAACATATATTGGGACCATTTTGAAATATTTGACCAATTTCTGATTAGCTTTTGATTTTCGGATACACTGGCCACATTACTTTGATTTTTAAGGGATATATCTTTCCTTATCTTTTTAAAACTAAATGTGAAAACATTTCTGATGCGATATAATCACATATAAAAGAGCAAGAAGGTGGTTTTTTATATCTAAAATCCTGATAATTTGTCAGTTTAACAAACAAACTGCTCTTGGTATAGCAGCCTTTCAGATTCAAGAAGGTTTACTATCCTTAATATTTATAGACTGAAACACATTTTTGGTGCACTATAGCATACTTTTATTTTAAGGACTATTTTACTTTTAAAGCTGATCTTTAGAATTTTCTAAACATTTGAGCATTTATTAGATTGAAAAAAGTATAAATTCAAAATGGGTGAAGTCTATGAAAACTGACAAAAATCAAAGTTAGAACTTATCAATTAATGGAACAAATAGAAAACAACTATCATATTCCTGCCTTGGTACAGGCATTTTCCTAAGAAAATGGTGGGTTAAACCTGGTTTTATAGCTACCTAAACCTCCCACTTGTTTGACAGTTGTTGACAGATTCTTTATATTGACAAATTTAAGTGAGCAACCTAAATAGACAAAATAGGTTACTGTGACTAACTTAGAACTCCCCCTACCCATTTCCCCAAAAAAGAAGAAGACAAACCTTAGAAGTAATTCACTGCCAATTCAAACGAGAATAATTGTACCATAATAGTTATAGGATAGCATGTTTATAAACATGAACTGCATTTAGAGTCTAAATTAGCACAAGAATATCAAAATAGAAGTCAGTAACAGTAACTGTCAATAAACGCAAACATGAAATATTTTAGATAAAGAATTTTAAAAATGTTTAGATAATACGTACATGTTATACTATTGTCATTCATATAATCATGATAATCAAGACTAGAAGAGAAGGTATTGTTGAGGCATTCTAGTATTTCTTAACATTAGGACAATGACTCAAATATATTATGAATGCAGAACTATGTATTAGAAGATTCTCCCACTTCAAAGGTTGTTAAATCCAGAATAGAAACATATCTTTTTCCTCACATTGAAATATGCAAAGCTAGATTGAAACACCAATCAATTGCAAAATTTTGCTGTGAATCTGTTCCAGGATTATAAATAAAAACCAAAAAGAAGAGGTTTTTCAAAAACGATGTTTATTCCATATTAATTTTGTAGGTTTATGTGCTATTTAGTTTTAAGTAAGCTAAAGTTTCTAAGGAAAGAGGACTCTCAAAAGAGGTTACACTGAATTACTATAGATCTCAGAAAAGAGGACTCTCAAAAGAGGTTACACTGAATCACTATACATCTTAGTATGTATCATCTTTTAAATTTTTTAGAAATCATGCTGGTTTAACTTGTTGCTTTATCTATGAACCATTAATATAACTTAAAAATAAATAGCTGTGTTACCTTCGCACCTCGATTGACCAACTATATCCTGTTTTTATTAAAGGTCATAAATAAAACACACAGCTATTTTTAGCATGAAATTTGATCCATCAACTCATTTAAGTATTTCAATTAAGATTTAGTAGATAAATTATAAACAAAGATAACTTTTAAATAGACTATTACAATAAAGTCAAGGTCAGTTTACGGTCAAATATTTTGAATTGGGGGAATGCATTATGCTCAGTTATTTTTACCTAAACTTTCATTCGACTCATGATGGAGTAACAGACTTCAGCAGATTCTCAAGATAGTAAACAAGATGTAATGTGAGCTACAGATAGGTTTCCAATGACACAATTTGAGCAAGAGTTACTTCCCTTTTGTTGACATGTTGGAGGTCCATATGCACAAATTCCTTATCAAAACAACCAAAACCACTTATTAAACTGACCACTAGACTAAACATGTTAAAGAAAAAGTTGTTTTCTGAATAATTCTAATTTCTTTTAATCTATCTCGATTCATCACTACAATCTAGTAAGTATCTTTTATCAGATTTGATCGTACAGCATGTTTCAATTGGTTGATCAAATATAAAATTCAACCATTTACCCCTCCAAAATGGCAGTCAAGAAAAACAACTAAAACCTATTTATTGCTCAGTAATTATACCCTGTATATAAAAACTGTACAACTTGTAGTTGCTTAGAAAAATCTTACATAACTTTCATATATATGTGCATGATATGATACATTTTTAAAGATACAAGTTTTCAGCAATGAAGAATTAGAACTTCCAAAGTCACATGGTATTAAAAATAACCTGTTGAAGCTTGGTGTCTTACTCAAGTTACTGTAAATTCAGGAATTATTGCGTTCATTTATTATTGCGATTTTTGAAGAATGGACAAAAATGCAAGATTGATTATTGCAATTTCTTGAAAATCTGCATAGATAAAATTGATTGATTGATTGATTGATGTTTTAACACCACTTTCAACACTATTGTGTACTATTTCATGGCGATCAGTTTTTATTTATGGAGGAAGCCGGAGTGCCCTGGGAACTACCGACCTTTGGTAGGAAAACTGACAATCCTGGTCAATTAAGATCGAGTGCACCTGCCCTGTGCGGGATTTGAACTCCCAACCTCAGTGTTGACTGGCTAGTGATACAGTAGATGGACTACTTTTCTCTTGATAAAATTTGGACTACTTAGACCACTCGGCCACTGAGGCCCCTGATAAAATTGAGAATGGAAAAGTGTATAAGATATTAGAATGTGAGTTCTTATTTTTGCGATACTAACCTGGTTGCTATATTTGCATTAATCAAAACCTCGCAATGATTTCTGAATTTACAGTATATCAATAAGCCATGATGTTTAGTTGCTGGGAAGAATGAGACAGACTATTTTATGGACAGACAGAGGTTAACCAGTATAGCCCCACCTCTGGAATGAGGTATAATCATAATGATGCTTCTCTCCTCTGGAATGAGGTATAATCATAATGATGCTTCTAAGAAGATTTCTTCAAAGGCGCCCTACACCAGGTTCCTATTTTATTAAAATCATGCCTTAATGTCAATGTACCTGAGTAAATAGTTTTTCTGATATCGCATAGATGTTCATTTTTCCTTGCTTATTTTTTGGTACTTTACTTTATACATGTATATTCAAAAAGCATTTATTTACAGAATTGTTAATTTTGTAGATCTATACAATTAACTACTGTGGATTCATACAGTCTGCATCAAATTCTTTTCCAACTACCAGTCTGAAAACCAATATTCCGACATTTTTCTTATGTGTCTAAACAAAGTTTTGCACATAGTAAATTGTCCGAATAAATTTTACTAGTCTGTGGCATCGGACTAGTGGTCTAACAGTGCAGACTGTGATTCATATATATTAGTGGGTACCTATTTTCATGCAAGGAAGAAAAATCGTATTTTGGTGGATATTTCATTTCACCTTTTTTTTTTAAATTCTACATAAAATTCTATAAAACTATTTTTTTGAAGGAACTTTATATCTGAGGTTCCCCTTTATCCACGAAATCCATAAATAATGAATCCACAGTATACATGTCTGAAGCCACAGTTTTATAAATAGTTGAAAAAGGTAGAAAATATAAATAAAATACTTGAATCAAGAGTGAAAGTATATATATATACTATTACTATTTTGGCATGAAAGATATATGTTTAAATAAAACAAAAATGCAATATCAGTGACAGTGTGAGAAGCATATCATTAAAAGACCTAGAGTGCTAGCTTACTGTGTCCAATGGCATCTGTAAACAATAATCATATCCTTAATATCATAACATATTCTCTAGCTCATATCAAACAACAAATCCTGAATCTCATAATACATCCTCAGGATCATAGTTAACAACAAATCCTTGAAATCCTCAACTTTATATTAAATATATAAATTATAATATGCTGCCAATGCATGCTGTGGATCATGGTAAATTAAAAACATATTTTTTTCTGAAAATGAAACCCCAGCACAGTACATGCAAATAAAATGTTATAGATTTCCTATTTGTTATCTCACATTTCTTAAATTTTTAAGAGTTGTCTGTCTTAAGGTATCAACTCTTATGTAACATTGTTATAACTAGGTCAAAAGAAGGTAATTAGAAACTGAAAATAATAAAAATTGCAACTGTGAAAACTAAAAACTATGGAAGTGGCTTAAAATGTACAGTCAAATTACAGAAAAAAAGCGCTTTAAAACACTAGTAATACCAGTTTGTAACTCTGTTCTATTTATAGTAACATTCACCATCTTTATTTGACATAATAACTAGTTAGACACCATGGAAATGGTTGTAGCCAATGGTTTCAGATGAGTTTTTTTCATAACAAGGATAATCTCTTTATAAATATAATATCCTTAAAAGATTTTCTCTTTTTAGTAATAATACAATACAAATATAATTATGAAATTATCTGCTTGTAATTCACCTTGCATCTTGGTTAAGTTTCTTCAGCTGATACAGCCATATAACAAGACATTTTTTTAATATAATACATAAACCTGGCAATTTGTGTTGATGTGAATCGTACTTTTTTCTATCTCAGCAAAGAAAAGTTTTTTTTAAATCAAAAAACAAAATTTAGTCACATATATCTTGATAAGTTTATGATGCTCAGACAGATTAATAAAGGCAAAAGCTGTGACAGTCTATATGATGTTGACAGATTAATAAAGGCAAAAGCTGTGACAGTCTATATGATGTTGACAGATTAATAAAGGCAAAAGCTGTGACAGAAGAGTCCAACTAGAAGAAAGAAAATTTGAAAGGGACATTTGAATACTGTGTATTTATTTATTATCTTTGGTATCAATTTTCATAGATTTGGAGAAAAAAAATTTTTTATGACACATGATTTTGTGGTTTTGCTAAATTCTACATACATTATCACATGGGAAATTTGTACTTCGCTGAACACATAAATTTGGGGTTCATATATATACATTGATATATATATACCTAGGAAATCCATGAAAACTGGTACCCTACAGAAGACAGGATTGAACAAGATCGTCAATATACATATCAAAATCGGGCTGACATTATACTAAACATGCTAAACTAATCTAACAAATTTTCAAAATGTTAAAAGGTGCATCTAAAAAAGGTTTGCTATTTGTTTCAAGTTTGTATCAGTATAAATGAATTATAAAAATTGTATAATGTACAAATAATTAAGCAGGCTCTGAAAAGATCACATTAAATTAAAGAGAATAATATTGAAATGTCACATTATTGAAATTAATAGGTAAAATCATCATTACCTTTCTAAACACCATTTTAAATCTCCAATATTAGTTTCAAAGTATGAGTAATGATAAAATTGAATGTCACAGGAATATATATTGCATGGGCTGATCTTATCCTTCAATTATGTAAATAGGAACATGTACACATCACACATACCTGTCAGTTATTAGTACACTTTGTTCTTTCCCTTAAGTACAGGTACTTTGATCATTTTTGGTGACTAGCCAGTTTAGGGGTTTGAAATGGTAAATGATAAATAAAGGGTAAAATTTGCTATGTAATATTTATTCAAAAAGTTAAAAGGACAGAAAGTCACAATTAATTTGTTTATAATTGTTTTAATATATAAGAGGAAGTTCTTGAAACTATTTTTTTTTATTACATAATATTCATTTTACAATTTAGGAAATTGTTAATAAGCCTTGATAAATGAAGATTGATCAAATTTTAATCATGCAAAGGATATGCATCTTGACATCATGAAGCCATTTAAGTACCAAGCCACTTTAACAAATTTTTTTCATAACAATTATTTGAAAATTATTGAATTTTTTAGACTAAATTTTGTTTACAAATTTGCTTTATAGTTCAACAAAAAATGAAAAAATGTTTTCTTATTGAAAGAAAAATAATCTAAAAACTGAATTGTGACTTTTTGTCCTGTGACATTTTGTCTGTGACTTTTTGTCCTGTGACATTTTGTCTGTGACTTTTTGTCCTGTATGTGACTTTTTGTCCTATGACATTTTGTCGGTGACTTTTTGTCCTGTGACATTTTGTCTGTGACTTTTTGTCCTGTGACATTTTGTCCTTTAACATTTTTTCCTGTGCATTTTTGTCCTGTGACTATGTCCTACATTTTTAAAACTAAATCTGTAAAATCTCATTGAACATTATTCCTAAGATTCTGAACGTTAATCTACAAAACTTCAAAGATAGTAATGTTGCTGTTTAAACTTATTTGTCTGGTAAATATAAAAATTTATTTAAGGAATGACTGTAATATTTTTTTTCTGTCTATGAAGAAATAACATGAAAAATGTGGTGCACACTGTACAATGGGTTATTTAAAAGTGTGCACCACATTTTTTAGGTTATTTCAAATAGACAGAAAAAATATTACAGTCATTCCTTATAATTTAATTCTAAATTTCATTTTTAAAGAGTATAAATTTTGAAAAAAACTTTGGTGACGTCACAGTCACATGACAAAATTATGTCTATGAGCTGAGAGACAAAACACTTTCAACCAATCAGAAGACATGTTACATCCAAATTAAATTATATATAAATAATATAAAATAAATGGGGAATGTGTCTATGGGACACAGATGATGCCCCCGCTTGCATATCATATAAAGGGACATAACTGAAGAAAAATTGAAGTGACTCTACCCAAATTTGTACTTGATCTGAGTTTTGTGGTAATAAGTATTGTGCATAAGTTTCATAACATTTGATTGAGGCTAACTTAAGTAAAAGAACGGAAACGAAAAATTTTCCCATTTGTGAAGGGGCATAACTCTATAACGGTTAAAGTGACACCACCAAAATTCAAACTTGATCTGTATTTTGTGGAAATAAGCATTGTGTATAAGTTTCATATTATTTGGTTGAGGCAAACTAAAGGTAGAGAACAGAAACGAAAAATTCAGCAATGTTTTAATATGTAAAGGGGCAAAACTCTAGAACAGTAAAAGTGACACCACCAAAATTCAAACTTGAGCTGTATTTTGTGGTAGTTAGCATTGTGTATAAGTTTCATAACAATTGGTTAAGGCAAACTAAAGTTAGAGAACGGAAACGAAAAATTCAGCAATTTTTCCATTTGTAAAGGGGCATAACTATGATTGGTTAAAGTGACGCCACCAAAATTCAAACTTGATCTGTGTTTTGTGGTAATAAGCATTGTGTATAAGTTTCATAACATTTGGTTGAGGAAAACTTATATTAGAGAACAGAAATGAAAAATTCAGCAATTTTTCCCTTTGTAAAGGGGCATAACTCTAGAAATGTAAAAGTGACACCACCAAAATTCAAAATTATCTGTATTTTGCAGTAATAAGCATTGTGTATAAGTTTCATAACATTTGGTTAAGGCTTACTTAAGTAAGAGAACGGAAACGAAAAATTCAGCAATTTCCCATTTGTGAAGGGGCATAACTCTAGAACGGTTAAAGTGACACCACCAAAATTCAAACTTGATCTGTATTTTGTAGAAATAAGCATTGTGTATAAGTTTCATATTATTTGGTTTAGGAAAACTAAAGGAAGAGAACGTAAAAGAAAAATTCAGCAATTTTTCCATTTGTAAAGGGGCATAACTCTAGAACAGTAAAAGTGACACCACCAAAATTCAATTTTGATCTGTATTTTGTGGTAGTAAGCATTGTGTATAAGTTTTATAAC